TGGTGATTTAGGATATGGAGATACATCCTTCACATAATCTGAAAAACCTTTGAAAGGTATAATATCCAGACTGAAGCAAAGAAAATGCCTTTCGTCTCTAATAGTAGAAGGGTTTGATGGTCAGTGAAGGAGCAATTATTCTGTAATTATGGACTCTTTCTTTATTCAATAAACACTTGCCTTGTAGAAAACTCTTCTGCTGCTGCTGAAACGATGCTAGTTTCATTTTGTTTTTTAAATGTCAATTATTGAATCTGGAATCTGTATATACATTCCCATTTATATAGTGGATACATGGTGCAACGTTAGATTGCTTAACTCGGTTGAGTCTAGAAACGAATAACTTAATTAGATTTCTCACCCTCTCTCTAATATCATCGCTTGCGCCATGTAATAAAATTCTCTTTCAGAAGCATAAAGCTTGTTAAGTTGTTTTTTTAGCAGAAACCAAAGATCTATATCAGTCTGGGGATGGGAATGCATAAACTGGTAATCAAGATTTCATTCCAAAGAAATGTAGATGTTTAAATTGAAGAAACTACTTTATATCCAGCGCGGCATTTGATGGGACCCAGTGGAACTTACTGGAAAGGATCCTTCTTCAGTTTTAAAAATAATGGAATTCCTTTATTAAATTTTGGAACAGCAATAAGTTGAATACAAAAAAGGAAAGTTTTGCAGTTGGGACAATCTATGTATATAAAATGATCATAGGTTCTTAAAATATGAGCTTGGGTGACATTTTGGGTGATCCACAATAAACATCACTTTTTCTACTTTCAAAACCTGCATCCTGCTGTTTAGATGGGAAAGAGTCCAGTGATTGTAGACTGATAAAGCCACAGAGGAATGAGGATGCATCTCAGAGATGTCTCAATATCTGCATATTTCTTTGTGATTTACTTGGTTAGTTGTGATTCTTGGTTAGTTCTGTGGGACTGATCTTGGACTCCTTGCCCCATAAATACTTCTGTTTACTTGACCTTGTGTTCTAGATAATTCCAGTCTTTGGTAGGTTAAGTTTCATGGAATGTTTCACACATTATCCAGCAAGAAACCCAAATGATTATTTATTCACATCAAGGAGCTATAGCTAATCTTGATTCCCTGCTTGCGTTGTGCATATATTTTTAAGTGATTTGCCACTGACCAATTATTAATAGCTGAGTTCTTGGGTAGATCGGAAGGGTTTTAATGGCATTTTTAATGCATGAAGCTTAAAGTAAATACTGTCCATTACATCATTTTGCTGAACAGAGCCCACTTTTCTCTGTTAATAGGAAAAGGCAAACTGGTGTTTTTTTAAGAAATGCTGTTTGTGTAACAGTGCTGCCTCTATCCAGACAACATTTTGAACAACTAGGTAATCTTGCTGAGCTTGTGTATATTTCAGTGGGACAATCTGTTCTCTACTTGGTGAGCAAAATGCCTTCAAGTGAACTCATTGTAAGTTATCTCATATCTGAAAGAATACAACCTAAATCCTTTGACTGTTGGAATTCAGGTTGAAAATTAAGATTGGACTGAGGGAGAACTATTTTTCCTGTAACTATTTTGATTGTTCCTGTAATGATGACATTTGGTTATCATGGCCTTCTAATGAAAATGTCATTCTTCCTTCTATGTATTGCTTGTCCTCAAAGCTATGTATCATCATCAGGACTGTAGGCAATGAAATGTTTTGGGAGTTTTTGAGTGGTGGCAGATTTGGGGGGATTGTAGTTGTTTCTGATAGCAATGAAGGATGGTTAATTTTCTACCTGAGGGTGGATGTGTGCATGTTACAAGTTTGGTGAAGTGACCTGTATATTGAATCTTCTGGTTCAAAGATTATTGGAGTCTCTCTTGCTTAGATTAATTAATTCTCCCTTCCTTACATTAGGTTGATTCAGAATCCTCCTCCTCCTCCTCATCGTCATCTTCATCTTCATCATCATCAGTATGGCATTGGACTAGGACTGGGGAGAGCCAGGTTCAAGTTCACCCTCAATTGCAGAAGTCCAGTAGGTGACTTTGGGCCAGTCCCTCTCTTTCAGCCTAACCTACCTGTGTATTTCCACAGCTTGAGGTGAGCTGGACTGAACAGAGAGACTGGTCAGAGGTTATTCTTAGAGTTAATTCCATGATCAGGTTGGGAATTTGCAAATAAATTACCCTTTTATTATACCAGGCAGCCTATGGCCCACCAGGAGCACAAGCTGGTATTAATCCTTCAAGTGCCAGAAAGACAGAAGACTGAACACTTTAGGCTATTAGTATAACCAACAGGGAAAATAGAAGGGGTATAAGAAACTTTTCTTGGACTCAGGTTTTTATTCTGAATTTGAATTTGTATAAAGTTGACCTTAACTTTCAGTCAAGCTTATGATCCCCCCCACCTCCCAAATTCATATCTGGATCTCAGCTCAGTGATTTTTTCCCCTCCATCTCTACTGTTAGTAAATTAGATGCAGCTTTTCCTGCCTGCATCTTCTATTAACAATAAGACTAATAAAACAATGGTTGCTGAGGCTGAAACCACAAAACTACAAACTGAAACTAGGGTTGAAGTAACAGAGACAGCCTTATCTTCCTGCTTCTCTTCTCTGTTACTTTTACAACAACTTTCCAACGTCCCTAAATTTTATGGGGAGTTTCCATAACGTATGAATTGGCTTCCAGGTGCGGGTTGTGCTGGCGAAAAATATAAAATTGTAATATCAGGACATGCATCTGTTGATTAGATATTATGGAGAGGAGGAGAGGAAAATATTGCCTTTCCCTTGATGGAGAAATTGTCACAGATACGTAAGATGTATTATTTATTTCTGAACAAACCCTATATAATTCCCCTGTGCATGCATGGCAAGGAAGCAAAGTTTATGGTAGCACAAGGGCAGCAGCTAATTAAATTTTAGTTATTCTGTGTAACGCTCGGGGAAGATGAAATGCACAGGGACAGGAGCCTAATGTTTGCTTCGCAGGCTTATTGAACCAATGTTATGGGTTAATTTACTATGTGGGAGATTTTTACAGCATCAGCAACAGCCATAATTTCTAAATTCATCCCAGTTAGACAGTAAAACTTGTTATATATTTTGACTGTTATCCAAGAATATATTTAAGCTTTTTTGTTGCTATTATTGTTGTTTAAGCTGACATTAGACATTAGCTTTGAGATAAATCTCTGGGATATATCAAGTAACATTATTCATGCCATTGTAATCCAAGCTGGATGTGAATTTGAGAGATGGAATTTCTGATCTTGGTGCAATCCTTAATTGTTTGGGTCATCTGAGGACTTTGCGACATCAGATGGAGTGCTCAGGCTACGCTTGAAAATGGGGATCTAGTTGTTCTCCTCTTGGTTTTACCATTTCTTAGGTTTCTTTTGAATTTAAATTCACTGGTTTAGCGCTGGGTCTACCATCTTAAGCTTCCTGAAGAAGCCATAGAATTAAAAAAAAAAAAAGTTAAAATATTGTTCTTAAAGGAGACTCTCAGTTGTAAGACGCTTGTGCTACAAAATAGTACTTGTATTTATAATACTTGCACTTTGCAATTTCTTAGGTTGGTTATTATGTAACTTATCTCTTTATCCATGCCTTTCTTCTTTGCTCAAGTGTCTACAGTACTATTGCTTGTCGTAGTATGACTGCCAAGTCTCCTTGGTTTCACTTTCTGCTTCCTATTCACACAAGGATAAAGTTATTTCCATTGGATTTATTATTATTCATTCTCATCACATGCACCATTTTTTTCTCTTATGGACGAAGGCATTCCTGTAGTGGAGTATACTACAAAAATGTCATTCCCAGCTAGTCTTCTACCTTTCCCTTTTATGATTGCTGTCATTATCTCTGGAACTCATCCTGCCAAAACATTTCCCTTGTGTTGCTTTCTCCATCATCTTCTAGAAGGTGGCCAGGGTCTTCTGTTTGCAGCTGTCACAGTTTCTTCTTCTTTGTACAGTTACTTCTGCTGTGATATAAAGTGAGCAGATGTTTCACAATACAATTATCACAGAGAAATCTTACCAATTAGCATTTTGATTCCTGCTCTTTAAGTAAGTCCCTTTCCATCACACATTTTCAAGTTTAATAAATGGCCATTACCATTAGCATTGGTGACTGCAGACTACTTGTGATCTTTACTATTATGCTAATTCTCTTATCCCAGACTGGGTTCTCTGCAAGTCTTCAAAGTTTCCTCTTTGTTTCATTGTCCAGGCCAGGTGTTGATTATGGCCACTGGAATGTCAGCCACTGTTTGGAGACACAATTATTGAACATATTAAGCAGGCTACCTCTATACATGTCCCAGTCAATGTAGCATCTTCTGCTTCAGAAGATTATCATGGATCTCTAATCCTGTGTTTGCACTGCAGTATTTTACAATCAAGATGTTTTGGTGGGTGAAGTATGAGAACTTCATATAAAAAGATTTTTTTCCCCCTCAGGGAAAGAGTTCAGGGAAAAGGATTTAGACTACCATTTCTGATTTAGGGAAGTCCCCCAAATATATTTTCATTGGGAAGAGGGAAATATCAATAGTTCAAATGCTGAAACTGAGTGGAATTTCTTGAGAAAAAAATAAAGGGGGGGGGGATTAACATTCAAATACTAAGAATTTCTCTTGAAAAGAATGTGCCCCCATGCACAGAAGTGTCAATCTGTCTCTTATTCTCACAATTCCATAGTCATGTGCCACTTATTTGAGAAGTAGGATGGCTAAGAGTTTAGTTTCTTGCTTGCTATGCTAATTCATTCCCACTTTATAAAGGCATGTAGCTATTTCAGTGATTACTGCTCCAAGTAATACCATGGTCATCTTCTTACCTGTCAACCTGGATTGCCACTCTTGTGGATTTATTTCTGTCTTTTTATTTACTGAAAAGGCCTCCTCAGTGTCATTGGCAAGCCCAAGCCTTCTTCACTGCTGAAGGTTGTGCAAGCAGAACTGAGGACCAGGCCATAAGAAGTAGGATATCACTACTAAATCACAACTCATATAATTTACAGATTTTAGCTGACCTAGAAAACCATGCACTTTTTAAAGACGACTTGGAATGTCAGAAGCTGATTCTGGAAGCCATGAAATACCATCTTTTGCCAGAAAGACGAACTCTTATGCAAAGTCCAAGAACAAAGCCGAGGAAATCCACCGTTGGGACTTTGTATGCTGTTGGAGGAATGGACAACAATAAAGGTACTAGTTAATAGTTGTTTTCCAGACAGTGGGAAAGGATTACGTGTCTTTCATGTAATAGCTATATATCCATTTTTTAAAACTTTTTTGGTATGACTAGACATAGTGTCCCCAGGAGCACCTATTAAGGGTGTTGGGAGATATGCAGATGTGTCCCCAACCTCTTTTTGGAGAGGCTTAGTTGCCTCTTTATGGATATAATTCCCCAGTAAACATCTTGAATTTGTTCATTTTATTAGATTTTCTCTAGAATGAATTCCAATCCCAAGCCTAGGCTACAGGAACCAAGTTACTGATTTTCTGTAAGGTAGCTAATTTATTCTGGTGGAAATGCAACACTAATGATAAAGATGTTATAATCAATGTTGCATTTCCTAACTGTCTTAGTAGTTTGAGAATGTTATTAAATTATGTGACCAATCCATGTGTTACAGATTAACAAGGCAACATAGCCAGTTCTTGCTGGATCCCACTATCTTTGTAATTTTGTCCAGATTCCTAGTTTCTTGGGAGCAGGAGAAAGTAAAGTCCTGAACAAACAATAGCATCACAGTCTCATTTTTATTTTATTTTTTTAGTTGAAATGGATTATCTGGATCATTTCCAGTCTGTCTTTGAGCTAGGTTTTGGGTCAAAAACAGCTTTGGTCATCTTGGTGGAAGACCTGTGTCAGCATCTGTTTATTCATGGTATCTGCAGGCTGATACAAACTTGGCTGAAGGTCCCCAGAGACCTGGACAAACTTGGTTAGGAACTAAATCTTTATTGGAATTCAGGAATGGTCAGTGTAAGAGACAAACAATAGTTACTAAATAGAAAATAGCAGGTGCAAAATTTAACCCCCCTCCTCCTTTAAAATGAGCATGCTCTCGTCCCTTGCTTGAACCTTTGTAACAAAGCGTTCCCTTGTACCCTTCCTTTTTTCATTTGCATTTTCTGATGGCTGTCACATTCTCTGCTTTTCTGCTCTGAGACTGTCCTGCCATTAATGGGAGCCTCATAGTGTCCATCAGGGATGCCCACACAGTGTGGGAAAAAGAAATGTTGTGTTCCAGCAGCTCTATTCCTTTGGGGCTAGGTATTCCCAGAAGGTGATGATAGGAATCTTTTCTTCCCTGCCCTCTTCAAGCTGCCAAGAACAATTGAGCAAAACGTATGGTCCTGCCTGATCACAAAACAATCGTTCATCCTTGGTCTTTAGGGCTCTGCAGGCACATTAAGTTGTTGGGAGAGGTCATCTGGAAGCTGAGGGTTGGGTTTTATGACTCTATTAATGACAGCAAGTTCTTCTCTCTTTCTTCCCTGATGTTAAGAAGCTTTAAAACCTGGTTCATTGTATGAACGTGGTCAAGGACAGTACGGGCAGCTAAAATGAATAAGAACTGTTGATCAGAAAGCCACCTTCTCAAATTGGACCTTGCTGCATAGGGGGTTGCAATGAAGGTGTAAGGGTAGTCTGGGTTCCAACATTGTTCTGTTCAGGAGTGTCTAAGAGTGTGTTTATTCAAGTTTGGCTTTTTTCCCCCCAAAGGAAGTTGTTCATGGCTAACATGGCCCATGCCTTATATGCCTCACATTTAAATTGCAATAACTTGCCAAAATAGTTTTAGAACAAACAGGTCAATAAATTATGGGTTCTGTAAAATGAGGTGGTCATTCTGTGCCTACATCCTGACTTGATTCTGAGCCCAAGTGCTGATTTTTACTTCCCTAATCATTGATTCCTTCTAGGTGAGTCTGTTTGATGAGGTTGGAGGTAACTTCAGACAGAGCTTTCTCTGCACTGGTTTTGGGAAATCTCTTCCCAGGAAGGGAGATTAAGTGGCGTTGACATTACTGCCCTTTAATTGTCTGAGAAAAATTACACTATTGCGCTAAACCTTTACTGATTAATGGTGCTTTTTGGTTTTAGAGGGTTCTGCAGTTTATTTCAATGTGCATGTTTAATCAGTTTTGTTTTGGTTCATTTTGCAAAAATAAAATTCCTTTTTAAATAGTTTTATTGTAAATTACTCTGATCAGTTCTGATTTAAGACTACATTAAGTAATAACAAACAAAAAGCCTGCAGTTTACTGCAATGTGTTGAGCATAATAGTCTATATCTTGCGGTGCTTTAGTGTTTTAGGCACTTGGGGTAGGTTGATGGAAGGGAAAAGAAATGCTACTTATCTCCTGTTGCTTTATCTCAGGTCTCCCTGGTTGTTATTTGAACAAAGTGCTCCCTTTGACCAAATTCTTCCGCTTATTAATTCAGTCAAGTTGTCTCATCTAGACCGGTCGCTTGTTGAAAATTGTTCCTGGCAGATGGAGCCCTAAAACAAAGCTGAATAAATATACCACAGGTCACTTGTTGAGCCACAGAACTGTAAAGTGTTTACCAGTGACATCTGCAGTGACAGTCACTAGCATCCAAAGATGGGTGTGCCTGGGCATTCAAAGCCCTACTCCTTTTTTATGTGTGGTGCAAACATTGAATGCAAGTAGAAAGGGGCAGGACTTTGATTATCCAGTCCCACCTGCCATTTTGAAGCCAGTGACCATTGCTGCTCAGAAGACAGGCAGAAGAACCCAGAGCTGAGTCCGAACTAAGTGAGCCAAGCCTTCTTGAGGAACTCTTCTTGGACAGTAATCCAACCTGGAGCTGTTCTGGGATTCCTGTAGGAAGAGCGATCACATGGAAGCTTTAAATAAAAGTATATAACACACAAGCTTCACAATCATATAGATTGTTAAACAGTTTTCAGAGGCATAGCTGTCCTCTCTCTTTTGAAGGTTAGAGAGAGCACTCCACAAACCTCTAGCTCTTCTAGCCAGCGGGCCCTGAATTTATGATTGCACTGTAGTTTACATATACTAGATTTTCTGTACAATAATTAAAATTGCATTTTTAAAATGTATTCTTGTAAGCCTGTCTGTGACAAACTAGTATCCAGTGAACACATAAAAATGAACAGCATTTGATTTTTATTGAACTATAATGTCTTAGGTTAATTTACTGATTTTTCCTAAGGTTCTTCTTTAAGCATGTACAATATGTGATTTTCATTTGGGGCGGGGGGGTTGACCTGTTCCTTCATATTTGCACTATGTGTCTTATGATAATTAAACACTTTTTTACATAGTTTTGGAATAAATACTTTTGTGAACCCGTATGGTCTTTGAGTCTGCTGATGATCTGGGAAAACTGCCAAATAATAGTTGCTAATGTATTTGCAACATCCTAGTTTTTATATATGAGGCCAGTAACTCCTTCTATCCAGAAAGAAATCAACAATCTGCTTTCACACTGCTATAAAATTAACAGTTACATAAACATTAATAATGCACTTCTGTTCTTTTGGTTTATGTACACAGAGACAGAGAGATTGTCCTTGAGGCTATACAGACTCTTGGAAAGGGGATCCAGGCTAGTGGATAAAAATAGTGACATTTTTAAAGACAGTCTGCACCTCATGGATCAAAAGTGATTATCTGAGAGCAAAATGTGATATAACTTAAGAAAATACTTGGCTTCTTAAATTTGGTATTCTTTTTTTAACTCCTTGGAATGACATCCTGGTGTGCTTACTGTTTGAAAAACAGAGACCCAAAGAGATTCAGCATGGTGCGCTAGATCTGCTTCAGAGGCATGAAAGAATTAAAACAATTCTAAAGAACCCTCTGAATAAGCTCATCATCATCATCATCATCATCATCATCATCATCATCATCATCTAATAAAATTAATAAAAAGATACATATTATCCTGACAAAGAACTAAATGTTAGAATATGGAAAACTTCACCAGAAACTTTTGGAGATAATGCAATCTGTCCCAAGGGGGGAGAAAAGCAAAGCTTTGAACTTTGATAGAACTTGCTGGGAAAAAAAAAGATCTGGACCAATCCATGTGTTCTGGATAAAGGACAGCATGGTGCAAATAGGAGTTTTTAAACATTTCTTTTTAAATGCAACAAACTGTTTATTTGTTAACACACTCTCCACTGGGGGATAGTCCAACCACCATGCAGAAAAATAACAGTAATAAAAGCTAAATAGCAATTAAAATTACACACAGCAATAAAAGCAATGGCCACCAGGGTATACAGTATTTACCATTTTAATAAAGATAGGGCTTTTACAGTGATAACGTCTTAAGCCTACCTACCATCTAAGTGATAACGAAAGTGCCCTACAGCCATTCTCAGCAGCTGCTGACAAGCCTTCCACTAATCAGCCTCTTCGCGGAAGGGAGAAGCTTCCAGATCCATCCAAAGTTGTACAGAGCGGGAGGATGGAGAAGAGAATTCCCTGATTGGAATCTTCCATAGGGTCCTGGACCCAAAAAACATCTGTTTTAAAGAAAAACGAGCCTCAGACATTGCTCTGAAGATTTAGTTGTCCACTCAGGTACCTGACTGAATTAGCAAGCGAGCACAGTTGAACGTCTTCACCTCAGTAACTTTGCTCGTGTCTTTTTCATTTGGAACCCATTGAGAAATACTCCTTCCCAATCTAAGTTGGGCTTAATAGTCATCAATATTCAGGGTTTCATGAAAAAGACTGAGCAAAGGGGGCCTCAGCAAGAGCCTTGGAAACTGAATCATCTCAGAGACAGGAAAAAGAAGAGGGGGGGATGCTGAATAGCCTATAATAGCCTGTAAAAATCTCTTCAGCATGACAACTACTGAGAGCTTGTTAGCTGGGAAAAACCTTTAACTTAGGAATAGTATCCAAGGCATTTTAATTTAAGACTTTCAGCTATTCCAATTTATTATTTGGAAGGTAGCACTTTATTCCATTTTGTAAATAACGCCTTGAATAAGCTTTCTATTTTTCTCAAGATAAATTTATTTAATAGTGATGTCAAGCCCGTTCTTAAACTTTTGGAACAAAATGACTGATATCTATATGTTTCCTAGGAGATATTTTGCTGCAGAATTTCAAGGCATAACTCCAGCAGCATTTTCCAGCTTAGTTTCTATTTGGGAATAGTTATTAATAACTGCAGAACTGGATGCTATTGACCCAAATCTCATAGCTCTAATGAACCTGAATTGTTTAGGATGCCTCCTGTAGTTAAAGAGCTGATTTATTTTAAACCAATATTCATAACAAAATACTTTGACAGATTACTAAAAGAAATATATCATGTATTAAGCATTATTATAACGGATTTATAATTTTTAAATGCCGATCAGCTTATTTATTGTAGTTTTATATACCACGCCATATGATATTGACATGCAAGAGGTACATAGTTTGTATTTACCAGAAATAGATACATTATTAGAAATTGAGTTTACTAGCTTAGTAGTAAATTAGTCCTGCCATATTTTGCTTTAGAGACAGAAGAACCTATGAGATAGAGCCAGATTTACTGTACTTCAGGTAGATATACTGAAATCAGTGGGACTTCAACCAGACACGATTAACTTAATATGACTAAGTCTGAGCCCAAAATTATAAAAAGGTGTTAATGTTGAAACATCTTTGTGGTTATCTTGTTACTGCGATATGCCCACTAAGCAATTTTTCTCTGAAGTTCTTTTGGCTGATTCTGCTCCTGTTAAAGCTGCTGCTGACATAGTCCTTGACCATTTTGCTCAAGATTTAGTGATGTTGCTTCAAGTAGGTATAAACTGATGACCTTGGCCTGCAACCGTATGTGTTGAAATAAAAATAAATCTATTGAAGTGGAACAAATGTGATTGAACAGGGTTATTGACACAGATATCAAGGAGAATTTCATTAGGAGATAGAAAATACCTAGGCAGCAGAAAGAATAAGAATATTTATTCTGCCTTTTTCCCCCCAGAGATGTTCAAACTTGTAGCCATTGTTCCTCATTTAACTTTTTTATTGAAAATGAACATGACATGTGGTTTATTTTACGGTCAAATATCAGACAGTCAAATAGCCTTTATTTTGGAGTCTATAAGCTGTAGAGTCCTACCTTAGGAAAACAATTTATAATTTGGTGAAATCTGTGCAAAAAATTAAGAACAAGCTCAGTGGACAAAATGTAAAATGACATAAACTGTTTGTTTATCTGTACCGTAGAAGTGCATAGTTAATTAAAGAGTTCTATAGAGACATATTTTCTAATCCTATCTACTTTTGCAAAAAAATTATTTTAGGAATCCTTGATTTTATTCAATGCTTATAAAAGAGAAATTTCCAGTTCCCTTTGAACTTATATTTATGTAAAATTTGAATGGCAACTCTAATTTCTACAATTTTCAATTAGAGTAATGGTTGTAGATTGATATTAAAAATAGTTTCCAGGAAGATGTGTGAGACACAGAGCTAAACAATGTTGAACAGGCCAGATTGTTGGTTGAAATCAAATGTCCAATAAAAGAAAAACCTCTTGTTAAATGTAAGTTAAGAAGCAAGTACAGAAATGCACAAAGATAGCCTTTGAGTACCAAAGGATCTACTGTCATTTCAGAGACCGCATTGTTTACTCTTTAAAAAATTCCTTTTCTCTCTTCTAGTACAGTGAGTTGGAAGGAACAAGACCTATGACCCCTAAATAGTTATAAATCAGTTTCTAAAAGATGTCTGCCAAATGTTCAGCCCATAATGCAAAATTAGTTCTAAAACTTTTAGAATGCATTAGCAAAGTTACAACTACAAGATATCACTTTTGGTTTGGGGTACAGTGAACAGGGGCTTTGAAACTGGTAAATCCAAAGAGCTACTTCTGTAAGTTGGCAGAGTCCATGATATTTTCAAGCAATATGCTTGGCAATACACTATGAATAAAAACTATACAAAGAATTAGAGAGTTCATTCATTTGTATCAGTTCTAGTTCTGAATTAACAACTATGGGGAAAAAAGTTTTTAATATAATTGAATGCAGAAATTAGTTCATATTTCTTGTAGCTGAACAGCAAGTTAGAGGAGAATTTAATATCTCCGGTCGGGCATCTACATTATTATTGTTCTGTTACAATGAGATTCAAATAGAATTCAAATTGCACCACCATTTTTATTATTATTAAACACTTTAGTTTTAACAAAGTTTAGTGGTTTTTTGTTTTGTTTTTCAGTTAAGAGAGTAGCTATTTAATTTCTACTACAGAACTTTTATTTTGAAACACTGTTGTACAGAAGCAGCATAACTTTTTATCCCATTTTAGAGAAATAGATTAAAAACATTTAATTAGCAAACGATAACGAATGTGCTTTCCTCTGACTTTGAATTCTGCCCATTGAGAATGGCTTTCCACAAACACAGAAATGCATTGTTTTGTATTCTGTTGATTAAAGTTGTAGATTTGCTCAGGCCACTTCTTATAAACTTCTATCCTAAGAATAAGAGCAGCCCTAGGGGGGAAATCAATGACTCAGATAGGTGGTAGACCCTTCTGTGGTGGCTTGTTCCAGCATCTGTCCTGGATGCTTTAATCTGAAGAGAACTTGGACTTCATGGCCTAAAAGACCTTCCCACACGACGGTATGACGCATGTGAGGAAAGGTGGATGCTGAAGCATAGCTGCAGAAATGCTGCTGAAAACAGAAACGTGCAACCTGATAGAAGATGCATGAAGAGGAATCTTTAAATCTAAGCCTCAAAATATGTGGACCCAACCAGCAGTGGGAGAAATTCAGGCCAAAAAACACAATATGTGGTAACAGAAGGCTTTTATTAGGTGTGAATTCTCTCACCTGAAATTTAAAATAATTAATTTCTTCCCCTGGGATTACTGTATTATCAGCTGTCCAAATAATAAGGATGTAAAATCTGAAAGTGCTGCATAGGAACTGTGAAATTTACACAGATGTGCTCTGTCTTAATAACTGGATTCAAGGATCTGTAAATTTGCCAAGATTATTGGGCTTTTGTTTTTACTCCAACGAAAAGAAAAAATTAATTTTAAACGTGTTTTCTCATAAATAATGGGATGGGGGGGTTGCCTCTAAAAAGGGGAACTTTTTCTTAATTGCATTTTTTTCCCCCTATAAATCAAGTGAGTAATTATTGATGTTTCTCAGCAGGTGCTACAACCATCGAGAAGTATGATCTTAGGACCAATATATGGATTCAGGCTGGAGTAATGAATGGAAGGAGGCTACAGTTTGGTGTGGCTGTTATTGATGACAAGCTGTTTGTTATTGGGGGCCGGGATGGCTTAAAGACATTAAACACTGTTGAATGTTACAACCCAAAGACAAAGGCATGGACGGTCTTGCCTCCAATGTCTACTCACAGACATGGCTTAGGTAAGAGTTCCCTTTCTGAACAGCATCTGTATCAAATGGGATAGAAAATCTATTGACCACACCTCCAAGCATGCCATTTTATGCAAACGTGCACCAGTCAGCTAGAGGCAAGCTGGTGCCAAAAATGAAAATAATTCTCTATTCTTAAACTGCCTCCATCGACCAAAAGACGTTGACACCAGCATCAGCCCCTGTATTTCAAATCTATTTAGCCTTACTTTATTCATAGCAATAGGAATATATAAACAGGGGAAAATGGGATATTGAAACTCTGTACTTCATTTTGACTTTAGAATATGATAACATATCACACGATTTGTAAGTAAACTTCAGAATATGTTTCTTTTGTTCTCAGCCAGTGACAAATAGATAGGAATTCTTTTCCAAGAAACATATGTGTAGCTGTAACTTAGTGACTGAATGCACTCGTATACAGACATCATCATTTCAGTCTTTCAAATAGCCCCACAGCTTTTTAGAACAGAAAATGCTTGAAACCAGCTTTGGCTTTATTTTCTGAAGACTAGTACTGTTTAAGGTAGACTGGTGACCTTATAGATAAATATTCTTCAGGTGGGCCTTCCGTGTTTGAAAGAATATTTTGGAGGGTAGCTATTTTAACTTTTAGGCTAATCTTGGAGAGTAAAAATGTCTTTCTGTGGTGTGTGGAGCCACTGGTCTTATTAAAGCACCAGCCATTTCAATACATGGAAACCTTAGGACAGTGTTGTCCAAACTTGGCCACTTTAAGATGAGTGGACTTCAACTCCCAGAATTCCCCA